AGAGCACAGGAAGTTGAGGGGAAAGGGGAAGGAAGGGCGAGTGTGGAAGAACACGGGGAGTGAGACCCAACACAGTAAGCACAAAGGAAAGCGTAAGAGGAAAACTTAAATGAAGTATAAGAGTTGTAGATGAGAACGTCGACACACACACCCATGACGACCTGAGTGATGCTGGGCTCACTTGCGTGTGTGTGCGTGAGAGAGAGACAGAGAGAGACAGAGAGAGAGTTGACATCAAATGACGCTCACAATTCCATCGGGCTGGTTCAGTTGAATAGTAAAAGGGTGGAGAATTGATGGATTTGTTAACACGACGCGAGTTGACATTACATTACAGCGACAATGGAATAGTTGAAGAAAGGGCGCCGAGGGATTACGTGCCGGATGACCATTGACCTCTGAAACAAACAAAAAAAATCATGCTAATCAAGTGTGAAACGGGTCAGAACTAAAGGTTAAAAATACAAGAGTTGATTTGGGATGAATTGAAAGATTACAGCATTTCAACTCTGTATAGATTTTTTGTTGGTGACTGATTGACGAGCCAAAAGTGTAGTTAGTGGTTGACGACCTCGCGAGGGATTGACGGCAGACGACTTAGGGTGGATCTTATCTTAGGGTGTGACTGAAGATTGACCAGGAACCTGAGAGCGCGTTATAGTGGATTGATAAGAGAGAGACAGACAGACAAGTTGATGATGGATTAATGGAGTCAAAGTTGAGAATGGGTTGATGGGAGGACTGAAAAGTAGTTAATGTGGGCTAATGGGCAGACGGTGTTCATGTGGGAGAGGAAGGGGGGGGGGGGGTGTCCGAAGAGAAGAGAGCCCATACTCAAATTAGCGACGGGTTGATGAAGCAAAGTTGAAGCTGACGGTGAGTTGATGAATACTTTAACATCAACTTCATTTGCTCTTGAAGATGACAATGTGAATCAGCCTTGTGGAGGTGACAGAGGGGGGGGGGGGGGTGAGAGAGGGAGGGAGGGAGCGGTGATGGGGTGAGAGAGGAGGGAGGGGGGCAGTGATGGGGTGAGAGAGGGAGGGAGGGGGCAGTGATGGGGTGAGAGAGGAGGGAGGGGGCAGTGATGGGGGTGAGAGAGGAGGGAGGGAGCGGTGATGGGGTGAGAGAGGAGGGAGAGGGGCAGTGATGGGGTGAGAGAGGGAGGGAGGGGGCAGTGATGGGGTGAGAGAGGAGGGAGGGGGCGGTGATGGAAGGAGTTGGAGTTAAGACGCAAGTACTGATGGGATGAGGGGGGGGGGGTTCGTGGGGTAATGTGAGGCGTGGCGGGTGAGGGGGGGATATACGAAGGGCGGTGGGGTTGGCTAGAGGGGGGGGCGCTGTCCCCTCCTTTACTCAAGAAGATCGTCGGTCGGGGGAGGGGGAAGAGAGAAGGGGGATAGGCAATCTTATGAGGCCGGAAGAGGGTAACGGAGGAAAGGGGGACAGCGATAAATGAAGGGAAGGGTGCGGGTAGAAGAGGAGGAAAGTGAAGACGAGGCGAAGAAGGAAAAGGAACGAACGAAGAGCAAGGAGGAACAGACAGGTAAAGAAACGGAGAAAGAAAGAGGAAAAAAAAAAAGAGTGCTCTTACTCACAAGTGCAGCTCAGCTAAAGCACTCGTGTGTAGCCACACTACAGTGTAATCCACACCCGCAACACACGCAGAGGTACACACACACACAGAGGTACACACACACGCAGAGGTACACACACACACGCAGAGGTACACACACACACACGCAGAGGTACACACACACACACACACACACACACACACACACACACACACACACACACACACGCACACACACGCACACACACGCACACGCACACACACACACACACACACACGCAGAGGTACACACACACAAGCAGAGGTACAAACACACGCAGAGGTACACGCAAACAAATATCTGTGAGTGACCTTGTCACTCACCCCACACAAAAGCCTTCTCCCGCGCCTAACTCTGCGATAACAAAGCAGAGAGTTCAAAGATCAATCTAAAAACACACGCTGGACGAAAGGTAAAATTATTAGATTGTAAATAATAAATATATAAAATTCTTGCACAGTGTACCCCATAATTCGCCCCCCCCCCTATTAGATAAAAGATAAATGTATGCGAGCCAGGTATCAGCTGTGAGAGAACAAAAGTCATAATAAAAAAAAGAGTTCTTTTACGTAACTCTTGTAGCCGTTACCTTGTAATATCCAGTATTATAATATACGTGAAGTATTACCAACGCTAATTGCCCCCAATGTTTATAATAATTTTGTCATACATCGCAGCAGGGCGAAGAGGAGGTGAAAAGTAAGAGGGGAGCCACAGTAGTGGGCGTTCTTGCTCTCTTCCCTCTTGCTCTGCTGCTGCTGCTGCTGCTACCTCTTCCGCTGCTGCCTCAGCTGCTTCCTCTGCCGCTGTGTCTACAGTAGTAGACACAGCAGCAGCAGGAGGGGTGACACGGCAGCATAGGGAAGTAGGGTGACAGTAGCAGCAGAAGAGAATGGAGTGACACAGCAGCGGGGTGACACAGCAGCGGGGTGACACAGCAGCGGGGTGACACAGCAGCGGGGTGACACAGCAGGAGGAGGAGGAGGGGAGGAGCGACAGGAGGCTGTGTTGAGGGATGCTTCAAGACGCGGCCATTATCTTTGATTATGTGAGCCGGGTCTGAAGATGCCAGAGAGGAATGGTGGGGTGAGAGAGGGAGTCATGGGGGGAGGGGGAACGAGGAGGCATGGGGGGAAAACAATAAGGGCGGGGGAGAGGGGAACGAAGGGAATGATGGGGGAGAAAGAAGGGAAAGGGGACAATCAGGAGAAAGTGCCAGCCACTACAACTAGAACACCTGGAAGGGGTCAGGATAAGGATTTGAGATGGAACGGGGGGCGGGGGGGGGGGGGAGGGGGAGAGGGGAAGAAGGAATGGTGCCCAAGCACTTGCGCGGTCGGGGACTGGACGCCGACCTGCATGACCGTCGCTCTACCGTCCAGCCCAAGTGGTTGGGCGATTGAGGAGAAATCGACAAATATATTAGGAAGAGAGCCCGGTCAGTATGACCATACACCACATGGAAGGTGTATGATGAGTGCGCGAGAGCTGGTGTATACGGGCGGTGTGCAGGAGCGGTGCTCAGCCCTCGACCACCGTGGGCGGAGTGAGAGGGCGGAGGAGTGAGAGGGCGGAGGAGTGAGAGGGCGGAGGAGTGAGAGGGCGGAGGAGTGAGAGGGCGGAGGAGTGAGAGGGCGGAGGAGTGAGAGGGCGGAGGAGTGAGAGGGCGGAGGAGTGAGAGGGCGGAGGAGTGAGAGGGCGGAGGAGTGAGAGGGCGGAGGAGTGAGAGGGCGGAGGAGTGAGAGGGCGGAGGAGTGAGAGGGCGGAGGAGTGAGAGGGCGGAGGAGTGAGAGGGCGGAGGAGTGAGAGGGCGGAGGAGTGAGAGGGCGGAGGAGTGAGAGGGCGGAGGAGTGAGAGGGCGGAGGAGTGAGAGGGCGGAGGAGTGAGAGGGCGGAGGAGTGAGAGGGCGGAGGAGTGAGAGGGCGGAGGAGTGAGAGGGCGGAGGAGTGAGAGGGCGGAGGAGTGAGAGGGCGGAGGAGTGAGAGGGCGGAGGAGTGAGAGGGCGGAGGAGTGAGAGGGCGGAGGAGTGAGACGGCGAGGGCGTGAGAGGGCGAGGGCGTGAGAGGGCGAGGGCGTGAGAGGGCGAGGGCGTGAGAGGGCGAGGGCGTGAGAGGGCGAGGGCGTGAGAGGGCGAGGGCGTGAGAGGGCGAGGGCGTGAGAGGGCGAGGGCGTGAGAGGGCGTGGGCGTGAGAGGGCGAGGGAGTGAGAGGGCGAGGGAGTGAGAGGGCGAGGGAGTGAGAGGGCGAGGGAGTGAGAGGGCGAGGGAGTGAGAGGGCGAGGGAGTGAGAGGGCGAGGGAGTGAGAGGGCGAGGGAAGCAAGGAGACGGAGAGAGCAAAGAGTAGAGCAGAGGGCGAGGATTTGGGGGAAGAGTGTAATTTGGGATGGATCGAGGGTGGAAAAGAAAAATAGGCGGGGCAGAACTGATGGTGGGAGGGCAGGATGGGAGTCAAGAGGGAGGGCAGGATGGGTGTCAAGAGGGAGGGCAGGATGGGTGTCAAGAGGGAGGGCAGGATGGGTGTCAAGAGGGAGGGCAGGATGGGTGTCAAGAGACAATGGGAGGCATGGGGGAGGAAGTAGGTTGAAGGGCTGGAACTGGTTGAGCAAGGCTTGAGACAACTGCCGTCGTGTGGTTGTGTCTATATTGACCAACTTATGAAGGTGATGGGAGCTGCATAGCTTGTACTATTATTGGCATCACGGAGCTTGCTTTTGACAAACAATGTAACATTTTATGTAAGCTACAGGTATCTTACCTTGCGATGATTTCGAGCTCCGAAATCATCGTAAGGTAACCGCCAGGTCAGGTACCTGTAGCTTACATAATATGTAACATATAGTTTGTCAAAAGCAAGCTCCGTGATACCCCCTATCTCGCAGGATGGTTAGTCATACAGAGGCATGTGATAAGTAGTCTACATTGGCAGACTCCGGGTGCATTATGAGGATATCGTCAACACAAGAGTGTATAAGGCAGCAGTGATACTAAAAGTACCAAAATTACAAAATAGGGCTAAAGTCAGCAAGAAAGTCTACGGGAGCATGGGTAACATTTTCACTTGCTGTGGCAGCCGCTAGTCCAAACTGATCTTTCACGCATAGAAACACTTTATATTGTACAGGATTATTATGAGAGTCCATTATCCTTATCTGCCTTGTCATCACATAGCAGCTTATTACATTATTTTGATAATAATAATAATACAATATTCGAGAATCGTAAAGCTCGAATATTGTATTTTTGCAGTGTACGGCATGTCTACAGGAGTAGAATCCTACATATCGATATTCGCGGATGACGCGAAATTAATGAGACGAGTTATGATAAATGAGGATTGCAGGATCCTCCAAGAGGACATGAACAGGTTGCAGAGATGGTCAGAGAAATGGCTACTGAAGTTCAACACCGGCAAGTATATAGTTATGGAAATGGGCCTAGTTGCCAGGAGACCAAAGGGTCAGTACACAATGAAGGGAAACTATCTTCCTATGACCGAATCGAGAGAGAGACCTGGGAGTGGACTTAACACCGAATCTAACTCCTGAGGCACATATAAATCGGATAACGACAGCAGCGTACTCTACGCTAGCAGAAGTTAGAACTTCATTCAGAAACCTAAATAGAGAGGCATTCAGAGCGCTTTACACTGCTTACGTGAGACCAGTCTTAAGAGTATGCAGCCCCATCATGGAGCTCCCCACCTGAAGTAACATATTAAGGAACTGAAAAAGGTTCAGAAATTTGCGACGAGGCTAGTCCCGGAGTTACACGTGATAGGATTTGAAGAGCGACTGAAAGAACTGAACCTGACTACGTTAGAAAAAATGAGGGAGCGGGGAGACATGATAGCAGCATACAAAATACTTAGGGAGATTGACAGAGTGGAAATAGACGAAATGTTCACACGGAATACCAACAGAACAAGGTGACATGGGTAGAAGCTGGAAACTCAGATGAGTCATAGAGATGTTAGGAAGTTTTCTTTTAGCGTGAGAGAAGTGGGGAGATGGAATGCACTTAAGGAGTACATTGTAGAAGCAAACACTATTCATAGCTTTAAAACTAGGCATGATAGAGAAGACAGACAAGAGTCATTGCTTTAAACAACTGAAGGCTAAAAAGGCGGAATCCAAGAGCCAACGCTCGATCCTGCAGGCACAAATAGGTAAGTACAAATAGGTGAACACACACACACACACACACACACACACGCGCCGGGGGGGGGGGGGGGTGGCGCAGCGGACGTGGTAGAGGAGACCAACAACACGTGGTCAGTGACCACCCCAACATCGTCCACCCGCCTGACCAACACACCACACCAACCAGGCCCTCCAGGCTCCCCTCTCACCCTCCCCTCTCCCCTCACTCTCCCCTCTCCTCCTACCGGCTATCCCCTGGAATTTTTTGTTCACATTTGGAGGTTTACATTTTTATTTAAACTTATCATTTTTTGTATTTCATTTTTTTTTGAGTGTTAGCGATGGTGTGAGACTTCATCCTGTTGTCCGGTGGGGCGGCCAGACCGGACGGAGGACGATACCTCCTGCCTGATAACACCCTCACCTACCTCCTCCCTCCCTGCCCTCCTGCCTGCCTCCCTGCGCCTCCCTGCCTCTCTACTTGGCCTCCCTCCCTGCGCCTCCACTGCCTCTCTACTTGGCCTCCCTCCCTGCCTCGCTCTCACCTCTCCCGCGCCTCTCTCCAATATTCTACGTCTCTCTGCTACCTCACCCTCACCGTTATTTTTTAATTTCTTTGACTCTCCCACTTTCACTCTCTCTTCACCTCGTCGCTCCACCAATTCCCATCACTTTCCCCTTACTCCCCCTGTTCACCCCCATCACTCTCCCCCCCTGCTGACCCCCTCACTCTCCTCCCCCCCCTGCTGACCCCCACCACTCTCTCCCCCCCCGCTAACCCCCATCCCTCTCCCCCCCCCTGCTGACCCCCATCACTCTCCCCCCCTGCTGACCCCCATCACTCCCCCCCCTGCTGACCCCCATCACTCTCCCCCCCTGCTGACCCCCATCACTCACCCCCCCTGCTGACCCCCATCACTCTCCCCCCCCCCCCCGCTCACCCCCATCACTCTACCCCCCCCTGCTGACCCCCTCACTCTCCCCCCCCCTGCTGACCCCCATCACTCTCCCCCCCTGCTGACCCCCATCACTCCCCCCCCCCTGCTGACCCCCATCACTCTCCCCCCCTGCTGACCCCCATCACTCTCCCCCCCCCCGCTCACCCCCATCGCTCCCCCTCCCCTGCTCCGTCCCCCCTCTGACCTCCCCACTTTATCTTCGCCGCTTCCAACTCCGCCCTTCAACACCCAGGACTCTCGTCACCTTTATCTTACCTACCCTTCACCTGTCCGCTCTCATCCCAGTCCTCTCCCCCTCCCTCCCTACATCCAACCCCTTCCACCCTCCCACCCCCACTCCCTCCTAGCCGCCTCCACCCTCCCCCCGCACTCCCTCCTCGCCGCCTCCACCATCCCCCCGCACTCCCTCCTCGCCAACACTGCCCCCCTGGTCGCCTACACCCCCAGCCTCCGTGTCGTCGCCATGTATGGACCAATATAGTCTGGACAACAGACGATGATACCTGGGTCTTCTACATCCTTGTCAAAATGATAATTTGCCTCCTGTGTCTGTCATTGTTACGAGTTATATTTGTGCGAGATGTAATCCATACGAGAGGTTCTCAACCCTTTTTTCTGTGCAACGAACACGTTGTTTACGTTGTTTATAATTGCCATGTTGAGGTTCTTGCTTTCTATCTTACAGGAGAAGTTCACAAGTGCTTGAAGTGACTTTTACTCAGTAAAGTTACTACTAAAGTTATTTTTTTTACTGTACTGGTAGCTAATTATACTACAGCTAGTTCTGGTTGTGTAGAGTTCAACCAGGTTCAACCATACCTGCACACAATTCCTGTGTGCAGGTATTGTGTCTAGAAGACCTAGGGACTATTGCACAGTGGAGTGAGCCACTGGTATTGACATAACACTTGGAAGACCTCAGAGTTTAGAGACAAACCAATTGCTTCAAGCGTGACAGCTGTCAAAATAGCAAGATTATTATTAATTTCCTTTAAGATGGGGTGTGTACGACACTTGGGTGTGGGGGGCACAGGTAAACAACACCATTAGTGACACGTAATGTCACAAATGTGACAACATTTTATAAGTTGAGTTTGACGAGGTTGTAGAAATGTTTAAATCAACCAGCCACTTATCGTGTCAAGAGTGAGTTGGTGTATTAGCTGCGGTGTGTGTTGTAGTTACGGAACAAAACAGTTGGGTTTCTTATAGCAGTGATGGGAATGTCGGCGCTCTCCTGACTTTAACGCGAAAGGACACGTTGATTCGTGGGGCGTTTTCTAATAGGATGAAAAGCTTGAATTCTTCTCTCATGTTATTAATCCGTGTGCATCCTGGGGTACCTGTGCAATCCTGGCGTACCAAGAACAAGCCTCATTGTTATATTCTGTATTAGTTCTAGTTTATTCAAAGTTGGGGCAAAAAGAGTTAATTAGGTACAAGGCATGACAACTAGGGATCTAATAGCAATATAAAATAGTCGAGTGTTTATAACACTGATACCAACATTTTTACCAGTAAGAAATTTCAGTGGTTTAGGTCTTTCTTTTAAGCTATAATGGAAGTCGTTTACAATGTCTCTGTTGATACCTACTCCAAGGTATTTGTGCTGCCCACAGCTGTTAATGTTTTTGTGGTCGACTTTGATAGCTTGAGGAACATTTGTTCCTTTGTGGGAGGGATAGAGCTCTAGATTTTATTCGAGATACGACTGCATTCAATCCTTTAGCAGCAAGAGAATCAAGTAGAACTTGCAACAGAGTTTGGTCATTTGCAACAATACAAATGTCATACTGATGACAGCTTCACCGAGTAGCGTTCGAATATCAATGATAAATCTGTGAATCAAGACACTGAAGAGCGTTGGGCTGAGCACTACAACCTGAGGTGTAAGTTAAATTCAAAAGGGTACACAATGATTACGTATGATCCTCTTGAAGAGAATTGAGGCAGTTCTGTTACTCTGGTATATCCCCCCCTTCATCCCCTGGACCATGTCAGCAGTCTTCCCTCGTCTCCAAAAGAGGCTAGTTAGTTCTCCATTTCCCGCATCAAAATCAGTGTGAAACAACCGGTATTCATTTATGTATTCTTGAACGAACAACATTCAAGAACTTTACACATACCGGATGCCAGAGATATTGGTCTGACTATTTGTTGAATTTGGCAGTAGGGTATTATAGGCCCCCCGTGTCCAGCGGTCAGCTAGGACAACCTGCCTAATGTTTTTGACTTAACAGTTCTAACAGAAGCTATTTGGCAGCTCGGATAGTACTCCCATGGCACTGTACGTTATGCCATCCTCTCCAGGAGAGCGGGGCCCTTACCTTTCGAGAGAGCCTTTTTTTCAAAGGGAGTTATGTCAAAGTTATAATTTGGACTTTATATAAAATTATAATTACAGTTTCACTCCAGGCAATTTCAGTGTTGAAGTTACAATTTACGACGATACTAGCGAGAATATGATTATATCCAGCAGTAGAGATTGTATACTGACAGTGTTGCCTGTTGCTCGAGAAACATCAAAGTGTTCGTTAGGTGAGTATGAAGCAAGTTGACGAGTGTTAGGATGTGATATATCTTAACATTTTATCCCACATTTGGGATGAGGATGTTACATGACTGATGACTTTTAAAGAGTGTTCCCAGTGCTCTCTAAACTCACGGCTGGCATTAAGAAACGTGTTCGGGGCAATCGGTCGTTTGCATGTTGTATACTATTGAACTATGATAAGAACTGTGTCGCAGGCATGGGGCCCGAGGGGGTGAGTCAGGGGAACCACTTGTCTCTTTCTTGCCGATTTCAGTCTTGTGTATTTCCCAACAATATCATAATAAGCTGTTACTTCAGCGACAATGTCCTCATCAAATGCATTAACGATAGTAAAGGAGTATGCATCATACCATTAAGAAACGCGGTATTTAAAAGGAATGTGAAAAGTTTCTGGGATAGCGATTATTTTCCTTTCAAAACGTTGGGAACCAGGCATCATTTATGGTGTATGAACCGAGGATGGGAAAATGATCACAAATTCATGAACAATTGATCCTGCGACAGTAATACTGATGTGACTGTGACCCATAACAATCTAATATGCTGCCCGAGATGTGTGACGTTTAACGAATTACAATCAAGAAGGGAACTACTGCTGTCCCTGAGATACAGTATACAACAATACTACACTTGTCGACCAGACCACACACTAGAAGGTGAAGGGACGACGACGTTTCGGTCCGTCCTGGACCATTCTCACAATCGACTTGAGAATGGTCCAGGACGGACCGAAACGTCGTCGTCCCTTCACCTTCTAGTGTGTGGTCTGGTCAACATTCTTCAGCCACGTTATTGTGACTCATCGCCTGCAATACACCACTTGTTTGTAATATTTAGGTACATCTGTAACTGTGCAGCTGCCTGAGCCTACATCTGTAACTGTGCAGCTGCCTGAGCCTACATCTGCAACTGTGCAGCTGCCTGAGCCTACATCTGTAACTGTGCAGCTGCCTGAGCCTACATCTGTAACTGTGCAGCTGCCTGAGCCTACATCTGTAACTGTGCAGCTGCCTGAGCCTACATGAAGGGTTATACAGTGCGCCAAGAGCGAGCTACACGATGCTAAATATTCCCATCACACAGGGCCATGTTGATCGGTAGCCCCTGCACTGACAAGCTCTCCTCCTCGGAGGCCACACAACTCTATGGACCTACAACCCAGGTTTCATTATCTTGTCTTAAGATCTTAATAATATAGTAGCACAGTATTAGCTTTAGGTGTTTGTGCTCACTTAACTGTACCGGCAAGGCTGGACGTCTGCTCTTGGGCCCCAGCCTTTATCAGCAGTCGCTTGCCTATTGTAATGACTTTGCCACCCATTAGACTCCTAGTATATTTGCATGATATCTTGTATGATTTTAATGCAAATACTTTCAACTTTGGTACATTTCACTTACTCACGTGTCTTAACAAAGGTTTTTTAATATATCCATGACATCTGTTTCCCAACCTTCCACCCATGTCTTATCGTAACTGGTGCTTCACATGCTAAATATTTTGGCTTCATCTACTTTGTCAATACTTAGGATTTTACATGTCGCAATCATGTCTTATTTGTCCACGTTAGTTATGTAGCAAGGTTCCCGTTCCTCTGGTGTTCCTCGCACTCCAATCCTTCAGGAGCAAGTGATGAGACATCTCAGGTTCCTGAACTTTGATCTGCATATTATGATGGTTATTATAATTGGTTAATGTAAGCGCTCCGTGCAGGCGCGCCATAGCTCAATATTGCCTCCCACAGGTGATATATTGTGCCCTGAATGCCTTTTAGTTAAGATTCCTGGAAGCTTGTGTGCATGCGCGTGCGTGCGTGTGTGTGTGTGTGTGTGTGTGTGTGTGTGTGTGTGTGTGTGTGTGTGTGTGTGTGTACTCACCTATTTGTACTCACCTATTTGTGCTTGCGGGGGTTGAGCTTTGGCTCTTTGGTCCCGCCTCTCAACTGTCAATCAACTGGTGTACAGGTTCCTGAGCCTATTGGGCTCTATCATATCTACATTTGAAACTGTATGGAGTCAGCCTCCACCACATCACTGCCTAATGCATTCCATCCTTTAACTACTCTGACAAATTTGTGTGTGTGTGTGTGTGTGTGTGTGTGTGTGTGTGTGTGTGTGTGTGTGTGTGTGTGTGTGTGTGTGTGTGTGTGTGTGTGTGTGTGTGTGTCGCGCACGCGCGCGCGAGAGAGAGAGAGAGAGAGAGAGAGAGAGAGAGAGAGAGAGAGAGAGAGAGAGAGAGAGAGAGACGCAGCGATGCAGGTAGGATCGAGCATTAACTCCCTACTCTCTCCTCACCAGCCTTTGAGCAGTTAATGTAACTTCATTCCTCTTGCTTTTCCTGGAACCTCCTTGAGCTGACCTCCCCACATCTTGAAGCTCACTCCACTTTCCGGCAACTCTACAGTAAAGTGTTTACTGGCGTCTCTCCGGCTGGTCTGTGTCTCACGCTCCATGTCCCTTATCTTAACATTTCTTTAAGTGGGTCTTGCCTCTTAATCCTCTTCGTCAATGCCACTTAATAATAAGTTCCATAGTACTCTTATTTTAATATCGTCCATTGTTTACTGTACAGCTTCGAAGAGATGAGAATTAGACATTGATTTGACTGTCTTTTTCCCTCCAATGTGACAAAGTCGTCCGTCAGTCTGTCGCTGTAAGAGTTCCCCTCAGGACTAGGACCTGTACTCTCACCCATCTCTCAACTTGGGCGAGAGTACTGGTCCTAGTACTCTCGCTAGTCCCTGTACGTTGTTTCCTTAAAGTGTTCTAGATACTTGATGGCTATTCGGACATGTGCTTATTTTTGAGCAAGCTGCGGACGATGTTTCGTTAAAGAGTTCCCCAGTCGCAAGGTTTGGTGTCGTGTGCGCACCTTAATTTTAACCTGTACAATTTTCAGGAATCATCTTCCTCCAGCTGCTGTTATTCTTACAGTGTGTCCGCACTGAAGTTTAACAACAATCTTTCTGTCCAATGATGCTGGCCATCCATGTCTCACTGGAGTTACTTACGCACATCTTCGCTTCTATTCTCAACCAAATTTGCATCCTTCCCAAGCGGACAAAATGATAATTTTCATGTCCAGATTATTTAAATACACCAGGAACATTACAGGCCCAAGTATCGATCCCTGTGGGAGCCCGACTTGTGGCATCTGGTCACTCCTAAATCTCTTCTCTTACCGTTACCTCTCTGTGTCCTACCCGAGAGGTAACCCTTAGTCCTAACCAATATTATAGCTGCCGGAGGGTACCAAGCGTGTCGTCGAGGCACTGAGGTACCAGGCGGATGGTGCAGAAGCAAAGAACTGCACCACCACCACGCTGGCCACAGCTGGCTACAGCTGGCTACAGCTGGCTACAGCTCAGCCCCGCTGCTCCACGTCGCTCGATCTCCCTGCTAAATGACACCAATAAAATCCTGAACTATTGGATGCGTTCACAATGGCGCTGTAAATTGTTTTTTATGACGCAAAAACATGTCCCGTGTTCACATGTTCAACACTGCGACGGACGCGCACACGCTGCGTTTGTTTGCTGCTCTTCCCGCACGCCGCACAGGCGTACGACGACAGCTGCATGTACGTGACCACACCTGCACTGTGGCCGGATAACCTCGTCCTCCACACCTGCACTGTGGCCGGAGAGGTAATATCATGAGAAAATGCTTAGCCAGTATGAATATGTAACTCGTGGCTAAAATAAGAGGACGGGATAAGGGCTGCCATGACTGTACAGGTGTGGTATAAGGGCTGTCATGACTGTACAGGTGTGGTATAAGGGCTGTCATGACTGTACAGGTGTGGTATAAGGGCTGTCATGACTGTACAGGTGTGGTATAGGGGCTGTCATGACTGTACAGGTGTGGTATAGGGGCTGTCATGACTGTACAGGTGTGGTATAGGGGCTGTCATGACTGTACAGGGTGGTATAGGGGCTGTCATGACTGTACAGGGTGGTATAGGGGCTGTCATGACTGTACAGGGTGGTATAGGGGCTGTCATGACTGTACAGGTGTGGTATAAGGGCTGCCATGACTGTACAGATGTGGTATAGGGACTACCATGACTGTATATGGATAGCGGCGAGGCTGTGGCAGGTGTGCAGGTGTACAGGTGTAGGGTGTCCCATGACAGGGGGGGGCGCCACACTGTGTAAACTCCACGGAGTTAAGTCTTTAGGTTACCACTTTCTTACCAATTTTAACCAGTATACTGTATTTGTGTGTGTTAATGAGATTACAAATACAAAACATGTGTTATTATTGAACTTTACTTGTTAATTATTCACAAATCCAGTGATGGTAATGACCCGGGACTACGGGGCTAGGAGACGCCATTGAAGGATGCAATTCAAGGATAGTGAAGGCGGTGGTACGCTACTTGTCCTTTGTGTGTGTGTGTGTGTGTGTGTGTGTGTGTGTGTGTGTGTGTGTGTGTGTGTGTGTGTGTGTGTGTGTGTGTGTGTGTGTGAGACTTAGAAGGCGGCCACTACACACCCTCCATTACTCACTTCCGTTCTTATCATACACGATAGGTGTGAGGTGAAGACACTCTCCCCCTATCCCAGCACGTCTCAAGCCCAGATTTTTTCTTCACTGAGGATTTCTAACACCTTAGCAAGGCACTGCGTATGTAAGCACTTATTATGTTATAGGGAGAGGATCCTAGAAAGCCTCCAGTGTCGGTGGGGAGGGGTGGGGAGGGGTGGGGTGGGGAGGGGTGGGGAGGGGAGGGGAGGGGGGAAGGGCTTCCTGTGGCACTAAGGGTGGGTGTGGGTGTTGGGCCAGCTCGGCCCTCCCTCCGCTCCTCGGAAATGCGTCACTGGTTTGTCCAGGGCCGCCTGTCGCTGCCCAACACCACCTACCATTCTTGTGGTCCGCTCTTCCGGTGGGCAGCCAGGGCAGAGCCCCCACCGATGCGACAGGTGTAAAGTGCCAAGACAAGTGCTGGATACCAGGAGTGGTATGTGTGCTGGGACAGATGCTGACAGCACTAAAATCACTGGAAAATAGACAACTTGATGGGGCTGAAGGCAGATGTTATGATGGGACAAGTCCCAGGATGGGACCTGGATAGTTGTGTTGACAAGTGCGTACAAAATGCATTCTTGAGCTTGTAATAAATTGGATTGGAGAAACTGGCAAAAAACGTAGACCGGATAATCAAGGAACAAATGTATCGGAATAATTAACGCCGCCAGAATAGCTCACTCGTCAATACTTTACTGTCGAAATTAAACTAAATTAGTTAAATTACACTCATTATATACAAAGAAGCGAGGTGCGAGTCTCTGTTTAGCCCGTGTCATGGGGGCCTCCATGACAGGGAGACCACAGGTGCGCCGTGTCATGGGGCCCCCCATGACAGGGAGACCACAGGTGCGCCGTGTCATGGGAGCCTCCATGACAGGGAGACCACAGGTGCGCCGTGTCATGGGGGCCTCCATGACAGGGAGACCACAGGTGCGCCGTGTCATGGGAGCCTCCATGACAGGGAGACCACAGGTGCACCGTGTCATGGGGGCCTCCATGACAGGGAGACCACAGGTGCGCCGTGTCATGGGGGCCTCCATGACAGGGAGTCCACAGGTGCGCCATGTCATGGGGGCCCCCATGACAGGGAGACGACAGGTGCGCCATGTCGTGGGGCCCCCCCATGACAGGGAGACCACAGGTGCACCGTGTCATGGGGCCCCCCATGACAGGGAGACCACAGGTGCGCCATGTCATGGGGCCCCCCATGACAGGGAGACCACAGGTGCGCCGTGTCATGGGGCCCCCCATGACAGGGAGACCACAGGTGCGCCGTGTCATGGGGCCCCCCATGACAGGGAGACCACAGGTGCGCCGTGTCATGGGGCCCCCCATGACAGGGAGACCACAGGTGCGCCGTGTCATGGGGCCCCCCATGACAGGGAGACCACAGGTGCGCCGTGTCATGGGGCCCCCATGACAGGGAGACCACAGGTGCGCCGTGTCATGGGGCCCCCCATGACAGGGAGACCACAGGTGCACCGTGTCATGGGGG